TTCGTTATCTATTTTCCTGCAGAGCCTCTAATATTCCTTGATTCGTGTAATAACTTTTCTCCATGTTTTGCCAATATATTTCTATTCACAGGCCCCGCATGATATACAGTAAACTCCTGAACAATCTTATTTGCCTACCCTTTCATGTTGTGTTCGTAGACTTGTGAAAAGTGTTGATTTCTATGTCATGGCCACCTGAATATTCCATTTACTCAATATTGGCTGTCAGTTTTGAGTTATTTCGCATGAAGGTAGGTATATTTACTTTTGTGAATCCTTCATCGTCCTTACTGGTATTTCATAGTGCCCGTTCTGCCATCGGCTTTTCACACCCAATTTGTTTCTTTGTATCACTTAGCTAGGGTAGCCATTGCCGAGGACTATCCTCGTCAATTTATCCAGCTCTTCGTCCCATAATTCTACACACGTTAGGCGTAGGCTCGGATGATCATGCTCCTCATTATTATTAATCTTTATACTGTAATTGTGATGGGACCGGAAATTTAGTATTATCCCAGCATAGGACTTCTTTCTTAACAATTTCTTTTTGAGCGTCCCAATAGTGCGAATAACTTCAATGTCCATGAACGGTTACTGCTCACCTTCCTCTAATTCCATCGTGAATTGAATGCTTGCATCAATCTAGTTTACAAACTTCCAGTTTTTCTCTTCCATGTGACCAAAGTGCGAAGTAATCATCCAGGTACCGCATGAGCACTGCCGGTTGTAGCGGTGCAATCTTGAAGCTCTCTTCTATTTTGTTTATGTATACGTTTGCTAAGTGGTTAAAGCGGTGATCCCATTGGAAGTCCAAATATTTATTCATAGATATTCCCGTTTAATGTAAAATGGGTTGTCCTTATTGTCAAGTTGATTAGTCTTGTTAAAGACTCCCTATCGATCCGTTATGATTCTAGAATATTCTCCTCTCGGTCCAGCCTTACCAGCAAGTTCGTTTCTTCTTGTGCCATGTTTTTGATTTTTTGATAAAATTCGTATAAATATTTCACCGTGTTTGATAGCCTCATTTAATTTCTTGAGTTTCAAACATATAAACTTTTCCTA